ATTTTCATTTTTGAAAAAAGAAAAAGATAATTAAATAATATAATATACAATCAAATGTTTATGAGCATTTATTCATTAGTAAAAATGTACACAATTAAGGCCTTATTAACGAATTCTTTAACTATTATTATTGTGTAATATTAATTATATATTTTTTAAATTGAATTTTTTTAATAAAAAAAAAATTTATAATTTTAATATTAAATATCGATTTTGATATTCATGTTATTATTGTTAAATAAACATTGTTTGATTCTAAGTTTAGTATTAGTTTTAAAAAAAAATAATTAGATTATAATTTGTCTAACTTTATCTATCAAAATAAATCTGAGCCAGTGCTTAAGCGAATTTTTTTATTACCAGTTGTAAACAATCCTTTATGATGAAAAATCGTTTGTACCTTAAAATTAATATGACTGGTCATGGTCACTCTGTAGGGATGGTTTTTATTTTGTTTTTATATGTTTTCAATATTTATAAATTAAGGTGATTATAATATTTAAAAATTAAAATAATTTCAAGCTCAATAGATTTTTAACTTCTAAAATAATATTATTGGTTATGCTATAAAATTTAAAAAATCTTATGCTTAATACTATTAATCATACACGTATATATTAGATTATTATAAAAATAATTATGGTGTAATAAATAAAAAATGAATCTTATAATTAGTTCTTAGAAAACAGCCTGTCTTACTGCCCGTATCTCTCCTAATAGAGAAAATTTAGAGTTAATCACAACCGCCCTTAAGAAAGAAATTTACTCTTAGAGGTCTGCATTGGGCCAGTTTTTGGACCAAAAGCCCGCCCATAATTTTCAAAAAAATATATACCCGCCCGACCCGCCTATTTGTCTAAAATTCCTTACCCGCTCGCCCGCTCATTAGTCTAAAAATTTTTTTAACTTGCCCGTCTGTCTTCCCGTTCTCGAAAATTTTTTTGAATTTTCTTTTAATTTATATAAATTATTTTTTATTTTTTTTAGATATATTTTCTTTATTCATAATAAAATTTTAAAATAAAAATTAAATTAAAATATATTTTTTTTTATTAAAAAAATTATGTTATAAAAAATAAAATTTATATATTATATAATAAAATAAAAATGAAATGAAAAGGGCAATTTTAAAGATAAAAAACAATTATTAATAAAATAAAATAATACAATGCAGATTGCAAACCCAAAAAAAAGGAAATTTTAAGAGAACAGTTTTATTACATTCCCATAAAAGGAAATTTTTAATAGACAAAAAATGTTTATTTATTTTAAGAAAAAAGTTTTATTGTTGTGTTTATTACATAATATAGTTAGGTAAATGTTCTTCACTTAAAAAAAAACGATTTGTACAATAAAAAAAGAAATATTGTTATAGATCATTTAAACAATTTTTTTTTAGTTTGTTTTTTGAACAAAAATTTTAAATTTCCTTAACCCGCCCGCCCATTGCTTAAATTTCTTAACCCGCCGGCCCAACCCACCCATAGTTTTAAATTTTTCTTAACCTGCCAGCCTGCCCATTACTTCTAGTTACTCTCACTCCCATTATCATTATAAATACTAATATAGGATAATCATTTATTAGAGCGAAAGTCCTTGGGCCAGCACCTCGAAAAGGACCATATAAAGTTTTAGTGATAGAACTGGTGGGCCAAATTTTGAATTACTTTTTTAAAATTAATTTTGCTAATTTTTCTTTCAAATTCTTCTTGTATACATTTTTGGGGGAGGATAGGAGGAGAGGGTAGGGATTGTATAAGGGAAAATTTTTTCATTAGCTTCAAATGACATTTACAAGAACAAAGGCAAATTTTAGAAGGAAGGATTTCTCCTTGCCCACCCTCTTCCCACCTGAATGCCTATGCTAAAAATTAATAATTGCATGTGATTGGATCTCTGTGCAACAGTAAAAAGAGCATTATTTAAAAAATTAGTACACGACTATGATGAGTTATTTAAATATATAAAGTGATTTTTTAAAAAAATTAGCTTTAAAATTGCTAGATATAAATAGTATATAAAAGTATTAAAGCTGTGTGTTCTGGCCGGGTATTTAGCTTCGACAAAACAACCTAAAAAAGAAAACCAAACCTAAACAAAAACTAAACAAAAAAACGATAAAAAAATATGAAATATGGCGATGCTACCAAAACACTTAAAACAACCCAAAATATGGCGTCCTAGTTCAAAAGCTGTTTAGAATTCAGACTAAACCGTATTAAGTAAATTAAGTCGAGCCAGTGACACAACCTAAGAGACCTGATACGTCATAACGCCTTTAAATTTGTAAAATAAGTGTTAATCTTGAGAAATAAATTGAGCAAAACCGGGGCTAAATGGCAAGTGAGAATTTAAATCCCTAGGACTAAATATCTTAAATTATTCAAAGTCCATTGGAGGTTCATTAAGAGATAGATATTGGCCAAAAACGATATTTTACTATTTATCACAAAATAAAATTTGTAATTTTATGTTTGTTTTAAAGAGAATCAAATTTTCAAAAATATATAAGATTGATTTATTTATCTATGCTATAAAATGATTCTTGAGTTTCTTCCTCGCTTAAAATAACAGGAGGTCAAACAATAAAATAAGGTCAAATGGTAATTTATTAATTTTATTATTTAATCATTTAGGCGTTATAAATGAAATAAAAATGAAAACTGAGAGAAATATTTTTAAAAGCTATTAACAATTAAGAAACAAATCTTTAAATAACTATATCAACAATAGATATATTTAAAAATTTTGGAAAGTAATTTTCGTTTGATGAACAAATTAATAAACTATACTAATATAGATTTCATCAAAAAATTCTTTATTCCAAGAATACTTTATTCAAAAAATTCAACATTTCAAATAATATTATCAAATAATTCATAAATTATCGCACTCAGAAATTTACTATACTCCATGAGAATTTATATTTATTTATAATTTTATTATAAAAACCAAAAATTATATAAGGAAATTTGTGCTAATATTAATTATATAGTAAAATTTGATTTTTAGATTTAGATGATTCTTGAATATTAATACTCATACATAAAATAATTTTATTGGATATTTTATGAATTGGATATCAAATTTTAGTTAGATTTAGTTTTAAGTTTAATTGATAACTGATATCTTGTAAATATGTCATGGCAGCGGCCTCCATACCCTCCTAGGCTTCTGGAACAAATACTCCCTTGCAAAATATACCCCTAAAGCAGCGACAGTTGTAAAATTTGTGTATCGTCCACTTTACTACTGAATTTCCATTGTTGTTAAAGGCTATTTTTTGAAAGTAGCAGGTTACCGCTAAGATTAATTGACACAAAAAATAGCACGTTATCGCTCTTTTGTCAAAAATGTAACCTATTAGCTACCTTTAAAAAATATTTTAGGCTACTATATTTTAAAAATAATTTATAATTTTTATATCTCTAATCTATGCCCATAAGATTAACATATCAAATTCAAAAATATTGATACATAAAAATATGACTAAAAAAATGTAAAATATATATGCAACATTTATTTTACTCCGTTTTAATAATAAAATAATCTCTATATATTATCATCTCCAAGTCTAGAGCCTGGTAAGAAAGCATAAATCTTGCCTTATTAAATATTCGCTTAAGGGTAGTAGCACTTTTGTGGGGTATTTTTATAAACTTTTAAGAAAAAAATTATCAAAAATCATTTGAGTATTTTTGCCTTATTTATTTTCGTTAGTATTAGATTAGTCAACGTTACCAATAGCCTATTTTTCTTTTCTTTGGGTCCAAATAAGTTAGTATTAGATCGGGACATAAATAATTTATATTTTCTTCATGAATGCCTACTATCTTTTATTGTGCAGATGTAAGAGAATAGATATAATATTAGACTCTTTCATTTCTTGAGAATTATCCAAAATTCTTGTTATTACTTCTGCCTGCAGGATATCTTGGTACCAAATAAAAATTTAATCAGATTAGAAATTTTGCTGAACTGTATCTATAAACAATTAATATCACTTTATGAGATAATTTCTTGAGATACACCTGATTCTGGTGTAGTAGAATTGATCAAGTTAGTTTGAATTAAATTTGATCTATATGATGTAGCCTCTTCTACTTCACAAAATTATTAAGAAATTTTAATAATTTCTCCGAAATTTTAGGTGTGCACATTCTATAAAACACAAGATATAATAATTTTATTAAAATTATGAATAATATCTTTAGATGTTTTTTTAGTTAAAACTGCTTAATTTATTGAACAACTTCGATCTTTTATGCATCTAAATTTGAGGGGAGAAGGTCTAGATAAATTACATGGTTATCATCTGTCTCAAATTTTTTTCCCATATCTATCTCTATTGGCTGTATTTTATAATTTAAGTTTTCTTGATAAATTAAATTTATAATTTATAAAACAGTTTTTGATATATAAACTTTGAAATTAAATGTAAGAAACTATAATATTAAAAATTAATTATTTATTAGCAGAGATAAAGCATCAACTTACATTTACTAAGTAGGATTTGCTATTTTAAAAGTTAGCTGGAGTGACTCTTTATAAAAAAAAAATAAGGTGTAATAACACTTTTTAGTATTGTTGTTAACTAGCTCAATTTTTAGAAAATGGTTAACTCAATATTTTAACCAAAACTATCACACATTCCTAGAGATTTTGCACATAGAAAGGTTTGGACATCTATTAACGAAATCTTTACATAATATTTTTTTTGGCTAAAATATTGAGTTGGCCGTTTAACAACGCTACTTTTAGAAACTTTCTCGGGTATCAATATTTTTCCTTATTTGATAGCCTTTTCCTTTTAAAATTTATATTTTTTTATAAACCATATTTTCTCGGTTTATGACGCTTTCCGCTTAATAAAATTCTAAATTCCTTATTTTAAAAATTTCTGGTCTCTCGTGAGAAACATCAGAGTTATAACTGTATCAAAGTTAAAAAAAAAAAATAATTATGAATATAATAAATAAATGAATATCTATTTTTTTTACCTTTCCTTGTATTTGTTTCTTTCCAATTTCTCACATCGGAAACACTCCTATAAATTTTAACACGTTTGAGTAAATCATGTGTATAGTATTTATTTTTTAAATTAATTTTTTTTTAGTTATTTAACTTTTAAACAAAATTTTTAAACGTATATATAAAATTTTATTATAATTTTAAATTTGGTTGGCCCTTTTTTTTTAAATTATTACAAAGGAATATTTATCGATTTAAAAAATTAAAATTCAATGATTATAAAAAGATTTTTTTTTTTTAAAAAAAACATAATTTTTGTTTGAATAATTTGTTTTAATTTTGAAGATATTTTTAAAAAAAAAATTTTTTAAATAAATTGACAAGAAAATGATTAATATTTAAATTAAAAAAAAAATTTTTTTTTTATTAAATGAAATAAGTTATATCAATTTTGAGATAATTATTTTTCATTCCCCGCTAATGATCATCTTCAAAAGAAATAAGAAAAAAAAAAATATTTCTTATATATAATAAAGGAAAAAAATAATAATAATATGCCAATAATATTTATTGGTTTTCCATTATATTTTTTTTTGAAAAAAAATCAAGTTTAATGCTTATGAGCTTTTTGATTTTTAATATTTTTGGAAATAGTGATTGGCATTTTTTAAAAAAAATGCAGTTGTTTTTTATTCGGTGCATAGGCGTAGCCGGGGGAAGGCAAGGGAAAATTCTCCCCGCATATTTGCTTGTTCTCGTAAATATCATTAAAAAATCTACCCCTTAAATCACCCCCCCCCTCTCTCTTCAATATAATAGCAATATAAACAAAAATTTTAAAGAAAAATTAGTAAAAGTTAACAATTTTTTAAAATAATAACTTGAATTCAAAATTTTTAGAATTTTATTTTAAAAAATGAGCAAAATTTATTTTTAAACCAAGTATAGTCAAGGACCCAAAGAAGACTTTTAATAGTATTTAAGATGGAAAACCATATTTAATAATGCTTTCTCCCGTGTTAGCAAAATCCTGATAGGATGACTTTAATAATAAACTATAAGAAAAGTGTTTTCTACCCCTCCCCCTACTCCCCATTTCCATTTAAAGACTAGGCCTATGAAGCGCCAATATCAAAATGTTAACCAGAATTGTATCGCAGCTTAATTTCTTACAAGCCCTCATTATAATATTGGTTCTTTCTTTATTATTTATTGTTTTATTTCTGGATTGGCCAATTTTCATATATGTTATTTTTATATCCAGATATTTAACTGATAATACAATTATATTACCCATGAGGGAGGCGTAGGAAATTATTTTGGGGGCTTTGCCCTCCAAACCCAGATTTCCCGGCCTTCTGTCGGGCCCCTCCTATAAAAATATTATATATGTTATCTTTATATCATCTCCGTCAAAATTGGCTTAACAATTAAAAGTAGGGGAGACCGGGGATATAATGAACCCGCGCTTATAGCGAGTCGTGGCTTTATTTTCCAGATTATTAATCTCTAAGGGATATTTTTTTTTTACCATAACTATATAATTATTTAATGTGTATGCGCGGCTATGATTTTTATTTCTATCGGACAGCTTGAAGAATATATATAATGCATTTTATGATTCGTATCTGCAAAAGTAATTTTGTAGACCTTTACTATTTTTCAAATAAAGATTAATTTACATTTTTATCACCCTAAAATTTATCTAATATAAATGAAAAAAAAGTCATATTTTATATAATATTAACTTACCCGAACAAAATTGATATTAAAAATACTTCAAAATACGATCTTAATGAAAGTGTTGACATTGTGGCTATATTTATGAGGTTAGGTCGAGCCTTTTACGAATTTTTTTTTAAAAATTTTAACATGGAAAAATAAAGCCATGGAGAGAGCAAATAAAAGTGAAAAAAAAATCGAAAAATGTTTATTAATATGAAAATCAATTGTTTTCATGACAATCAAGACTGGTTTCATTGTCGTAAATGTAGTTATTGGTCACATGGAAGCTGTTGTAATTTTAATCCTTTTTTTTTTATTTGCAAAGATTGTAAATAATATTCTCATTTTTTTTTGTTTATAAAATGATTTTATATATTACTTTTATGCTTTAAATCATTAAATGTGTTCTAATAAAAAAAAAATATATAATTTTCATTTGGAAAATTAAGCAGAGCTTATAATAGTCCCGATCAAAGGCGTTCGTCTCCGAGTAGGGTTTCACTTCGTTCCCAAAAAAAATTCCAGGAAAAATAAAATTTCGAAAAAAAGAATTAATTATGGTATTCTGGAAATTTAAACCCTACCATAAAACTAGTAGAGCTGAATAAAATTAGATATTTTTTCTTAAAAATGATAAAGTATAGGGTTCGACATAACCCCGGTCTTTACAAACTCTAAAATATGCCAATGTTTTGTGCTTTCTTAGCATTTGACTTTAATCAGTATATAGTAGTCAGCATAAATGAAAAAATTATTAATAACAAAATTTTGGTCGACCATAAGATTAAAAAGCGACTAAAAGGATTATTCTGAAAATTTTATCATTATATAGTGCTTGATTGCAAATTAATTTTATCCGTTTGGTAAACAGTAGAAAGAAAAAAATTGACATTTAGGCTAGAGTAGAAAATATTTTAAAAAAAACTATATATCAGGCATACGCTAATATTTATTGCCTGGCTAAATAATTAATTCCTCAATCAAATATCGAAATGAAATTGAAAACAAAATGAAAACTATCACACTTTAAGCATCAAATCAAGTTAGCCAAATTTTTGGAAAAATATGAAACTTATATCAAAGTATTATGTATGGCTTCTTTAAGTTTTATTTTGTTTCGTATTAAAGAGGAAAACAATTATTGGTAAAAAAATTAAAAAAATTGTAAAAATCATCATGCTAGAACGGAAAATATAGAAGTTATAACTATCTGGTTTGCATTAATATTTAGTGCCTAACTTATTATTTCTTTGAGTAATTACGCCAGACAAAAAAAGCAACCGAATTACATATAAAATCAAACTATGATATCACGTCTTGAGAGCTAAATGGAAGCATCATCTCTAATATTCATGGCAATAATTAGTGCCTATTTTATACCTTACTTCTACCCGTTTGATAGATAGTATAAAGAAAAACATAGATAAAATTAAAGCAAATTGTCAAGATTAATCTTATTATTAGAATAATCATAGAAGTAATAGACAGTATGCAAGGCATGGTTAGTCCTAATAATTCATCAATCAGTTTATCCAACCAATAAATTAATACCAGTTATAAGCAAAATAAAAACTAAGGCACGCCTAAGGCTGAGTTTTAAATTTTGAATTAATTACGATTCAAAAATCAATCAAGTCTAAATACATTAAAGTTTTTCACTTATTGAAAATATTTTTGGATCTTATGCTTCTATGATCTTTATACTGATGTTGCTTGTTCTTTTCAGTTTATTTAATAGATATCTCTAACAATATAAATTATGTTATTAAATTTATAAATATCTAATTTGTTTATGTTTTTATAAAAAAAATCGGGGATTATTGGTGGGATTAACCCCTCCCCCTTCTCTACGCCACTAAGTTAGTGTTGTTAAACACTCGTTTTGAGCCGATTTTTAAAAACGGCTAATTTAATATTTTAACCAGAAAAATATTTCCTAAGCCTAGAGATTTCGCTAATTTATGTCTAGACCTTTGTCCCATCTGTGAACAAAATCTTCAGGCTTGCGTAATATTATTCTAGATAAAATATTGAGTTGGCCGTTTTAAATAGGCTCAAATCGAACCGTTTAACAACACTACACTAAGTAGGTATATTATATTCTATCGAAAATCAATGTTTTATTATTTTTCTGCTTTAATTTTAGAAATGATTTTTCTATAGTGATAATTTCGCCTTTTAATAATCAATGTATATTATAACTAATTAAAAATCTATAAAAGAAAATTCTTCATTTATTTTTGTAGTAAAATGTAAAAATCTTTTTTTTTTTAACATGAAAAAAACCTTATAATGAAATGCATATAACAAACATATAGGCATATCCAAGCGTTTGCAATAGGGTAAGGAGGATAAAAGATTCCAATATGGGATGCATCTAGTCATATCATACTTTATAAGACTTTTATTCCTTCTTTGCACAGATTTAGACAGTTGGGTTGCGACATTAGTTCGGTTCTCAGTAAAGGCTCATGAGCTGGTTATAAGTTATGGTTTTATTGTCGTAAAATAAAATAAATCCACTTTTTTTCTAAGTTTTAAAATCAGTTCACAAGGTCGTCTTATGTCTCTTCTGGGCGAAAATGAATTAGAAAGTCCTGTATGAAACCACTAATTTACTTAACTTTTATTTTAAAAAAATTACAAAATAACTTCAGCATTTTTAAAATAATATTCATGAATAAGGAATTTAAATTATAAATTAGATTTTAAAATGCATAAGAAAAAAATAATTAACGAATTTTGGCGGGATTATAGAAGGAACGGTTAAGGTTCGGGAAATTATAAAAGGTTTTGCCCCGGTGACTAGTTATTGTTCTGTTATCTTTGGGTCCCTCTATCTATCTGCTCCATTTTTACTTAAATACTCTATTTCAAAAATTAGAGGACTAAGTAGAATGCTCAATAATTCGCATTTAAAATATTTTAAGAACGGGGACCTTTGTCCAGTCACGTTTTTAATAAAAAATTATATAATTTTAAAGGACTCAGTTTATTATGTATTTTGGTCGCAAGAAAGAAAGATAAATAAGTTTCCATATGTGAAAATGTTGAAACGATCTCATATTAATGATTTTCGAAACAGTTTATTTTAAATACATTTTTTTTTGCTACTTTTTTTTGAAACTCATAAAACTAAGATTGCTTATCTAAATTGGAAGCTGCATAAGAATAGATGCTTCTTTGTTTATAGAAACAATGATATTCGAGGGTTTCAATTTTCAAGAAAATCAACTTTGAAATTTAAAACCATAAATAATAAATATTCGATTTTTTTTTTAAATATAATGTTAGGCAAGCCCTAACGACTAACTTTAGTTTCTCAAATCCGCATGGACATGTTGAA